GTACACAATAGAATACTATTCAGCCTTAAAAAGTAAGGAAATCGCCTCATTTGTGACAGTGTGGATGAACCTGGAGGACATTAGGCTAAGTGAAATAAGCCAGGCTCAGAAAGAAAGATACTACATGATCTCACTTGTATGTGGAGTTTTAAAAAGTTGAACTCATAGAAGCAGAGTAGAATGGTGGTTACCAGGGCTTGTTGTCAGAGAGGGGGAATCGGGGAGGTGTTGGGAGAAGGATACAAAATTTCAGTTATATACATAGAATAAGTTCAAAAGATCTATTGTAAAATACAGTGACAATAGTTAATGACAATGTATTGTATACTTGAAAATCAGAGTGGATTTTAAGGTTCTCACCACAAAAAATAGCTAAGTGAGGTAAAGCATATGTTAATTAGCTCAATTTAGCCACCCCACAATGTATACGTATTTTAAAATATCATGTAGTACACAATAAATGTAATTTGTGTTTGTCAATTAAAAAATAAAAATTTTAAATAAATAAAATTTGTTTAAAAAGAATTCAGACAGACCACTTGTAAAATAACATTTTGAGTCAACAGGGGAAATTTTATTTTAGATAATTAGGTGATTCTAAGGGATTATTATTAATTTTACGTGTGAAAATGGAACTGTGATTATGTAAGAAAATTCTATAATTTTAGGAATGTACTGGGCAAAATAGTGGTAAAATTACATAAAGTCTGGATTTGTTTTAAATGTAAAAAAATGACAAGAAACTTAGAGAAAATTATGTTAAGCAAAATTAACCAGGCACAGAAAGAGAAATACCTACCGCACATCCTCATTTATATGTGGGAGCTAATATAAATAAATAAACAAACAACACAAAAAGATACAGCAATCGCAATAATTCCTTGAACTTTTTAATAAAAGAGAACAGAACTGAGGTCGCCAGGGATGTAAAGGGAGAGAAGGAGGCGGGAAAGGGCCACAAAAATCGATTACGTTGTATAATGATTAAAAAAAAAAATGACAAGAGAGTGAATCTAAATGATAGGTGTACAGAGATTCACCATACTGTTCTCTCTGTTGATGATCATATTTAACAAAGAAGTCAAAGTATTTTATTTCACTACACAGTGACATAACCGTCCTTCAAATCTTTGCCTTTAAAAGAATATTGGAAATAAAAAGTAACCTCTGTTTGTTGATTTCACTATGATGATCTGACCTGAACTAAAAAAAAAATTGTTATGAAAAATCTTGCCACATGAACAGATGGAGTGTTACCTACTTCAGGGGATAATAAAATAAAATGTCAATGTATTT